AAGCGTCTTAAATTCAGGGTTATCTATCGGCTACCTGCCAATTAAACTCATTAGATTAAACACAAAATAAACACTGAATAATATACCTTGTTAAATAATAACTATTAAAATAGCGTTAAATATATTGATTCATATTATTCATATTTCTTTGGTAGTTTTTAAACCGTTTATCAAAACTTTTGAAAATAACGATTTAACCAACAGACAGATGATATATTTGCTTATCATATGATATTACTTAATAAGTTGTTAGGAACAGAAGACATCAGTTTAAAACTTCGTGATTATTCCTTTGATACAGTTGATATATTTTTTTTAAGGGGAAGTTTAATTTTTATTTTACAAGTGAAAATATTTCTAAACTATGGATTTTCTTGATCAATTTCAATTTTTTTTTAATTCAATCCAAAACGGAGTGTACAAAATTGTTAAGTAAGTATTTAAACTAGTTTTTGCTTTGGGGCCTTATAAAGAGAATATACTACTAGTTGAAGCTTCATGACTAAGTAGGACAACAATTTCTCTACAATTTGGCGTTTATTTTAAATCCCTACATAGTTTTTCATCACCAACCAAAAAAAAAAAAAAATTTCGTGACTTCCAGATAAAGTAAGGGATACATTTCTAGGTTATGGTCTATAACAGTTCTCGATGACTTGAGCCTCTAAATTTTCCAACCTACTATTAAAACATCAGACTGTCTCTTTAACTTTAATTATTACAACTCTGTCTTATTGTTATAAAAATGTCTTGAGTACTTAAAACGATTCCGAAAGTTCGTGAAATGTTCTTACTTCTATCTACATGTTTTAAGATATTTATGCGTACAGATTTCTAATAAGATCATTGAAAATGACAATGATACACCAATAATCAAAATAACAAAGGGCTTCTTTCATATTATCAAAATTCATTGGTTGAATTTCAGATTTCATGAGCTGCTTTGAACAGTCACTTTGTCGTTTATCATTATTTTCAAATCGAACAATTTGTTTTTCGTTTACAAGTATTGATGATAAAATTTGTAATATCGCTCTTTAGGGGCTAATAAGTATAGGTACACCAAAAGATAGTTGTTGAAGGGTAAACATATTTAAAATGTAAAAATGCTTACTCTTCTAGACACCTGATACCACTTTTCATTATGAAATACGTACACACGTATGATACTTCCTAGTGTGAAAAGTTCATTAGTTGCTATCAATGTTTTGTCAGTACATGTATGTTGTTTATATTTCGTGTTTCGTTTTACGGTTCGGATCGTTAGTACTTGGTTTATATACGTTATCTTTAAATGCCACTGGGCAATCATTAATTTTCCAGATTTAGCATAGTATAATGGAGCCGTTGTAATAAATGCGTATTGACTTTGTCAATGTGGTCGACTGCCTTATCATTTAAAATGACATTTATCCACTTCTAAATAGCTTGTCTCACCAGACTGTGACCATTTGCGATCTTACAGCGACTGAAAATTGTGAGGAAAAGTAGATAAAAAGTCCCTAAAAAACTGCAAACCTAAATATAGTCGACCTCATACCGAGAGTTATTGCATTCTAACGTTTTCGCAGCGTTTCTGTCATGTGTGTCTGATCCATAGCCTACTACCTGTTCTAACAATATTTGGAGGTTCGATTCCGTCTTAACCCGATTCCCCCTTGTCAGTTATCGTAATATCGTTATGATCTCCCAAGACGTAGCTATAACCACTGTTAAACTAAACGTATCGTTATGATCAGGTTTAGTACGTAAGACCATGTTGGGTTGTCAGGGAAAAATGTTTAGCCATACAGACCGAGGGCCCATGTACTACAGACTGTACTCGTTCATATTGAAGAACGTTAAATTCTATTCCATTCCATTTGTTTAATTACCAATTAAATGCTCTTATCTGATGCTATTCATTGATTCCAACCATTATCCTAAATGATTATATCTAACAAGGTGTATTGTGTTATTAGTTTGCACTTTGTGTTTAATTAGAATTTAAATTGCTTGTAAATCAACAGTAGGCTTCTGTTCCACTTGAGATACCCTTTTCAAATGCCAACATCATATATCTACTACTGCGTATGGAACTACCATCATTATCATTATGAAGGTGGTCAAGAGAGGAGTCTTGCTGTTAACTCTGACGATGATTCTTGGAACAACTTCTAGAAAAAACGCTGTAAAAACGTTGATAACAATGATTGATATGTTGAAATGGAGAAAATTGAATTTATTTTACGATGATAAAATTCATAACAAATTTATAGATGAGATTTTAAAGTATTTGGATGATACAGAGGCTCAAAGGAATTTGATAAACCTTGGTGAGATATCTGCATCAAGATTGGAACAAACTTTGATGAAAATTCATGCATCAGATTTTCCTGATATTCATTTTGTGTACTTAGCTGGAGTGAACCATTCAAAATCTTTGGAATTCATAAGAAGTGTAAATAATTATGACTTGAATTCGAATAAAACAACAGATTTCAGATCTAAATCTCAATGGATTTTAATTGTTTCCTCTTCTTTTGTCTCTGAGTTAAAACAAGTTCTTTTAGATTTATGCCACGTCGTTCTTGTCGTTCCATTGCAAGGTGGGTGTGTTGAAGTTAAAACGCTGGTTAAAACACCAACTGGGCCGAACTTTGTCAACGTGAGACCAGATAAACTGAGAATTAAAGATGATCTCTTTCCGAATATCAAGTATGGATACAATGGAAGGAATTTGATATTGGGCATGGTTCCATATTTCTATATAAGAAGTCATATTATGAATAACGGCTCCATAAAGTATGTCGGTTGGATGATGGACTTATTGGTTCAGTTAGCTCATACTTTGAATTTCACTTACATTGAGTATGAAAGTGATGACTACAAATATTTGATTCAGAAGACAATCCGGCGAGAAATCGATGTTTTATATGGCGAATATATTTTAACCCAGGAGAGATCTCGCTTGATGCATTTTATTAACCCTCCTATGAAGTACGACGCTGTGGTAGTGTTATACAGGAAGATAAAAGAGGACAAGAAAACCGGTTGGATTGGAATTTTAAGACCCTTTGAATACAACGTATACTACATTATAATAATCGCATATATTATAATTACTTGTGTGTACACCCTGGTAGAATACATCGCTATGCGTAGCTTTCGAAAGTCAACAAAAGTTTCAAAAAACCTGAAGGAAATTCCATTTGGACTTTTTGGTTCCCTTTTCCAGGAAGGTGGTCATTTACAACCAAAAACGGACACTGGAAGAATATTATTAGCCTCTTGGTGGTTATTCTGTGTAGTGATCGCGTCGTCTTATTCGGCTTATCTGATATCGTCTTTGGTGTTCGAACCAGAAATAGAACCATTCAGTAGTTTACAGCAGCTTGTTGAGCTACCTGACTGGAAGATTGGTATTCCAGGAGACACTGGTGTTATTGACATGTTCAAAAATTCTTCAGATGAGACAATTAAACTATTGTGGCACAAAATTCAGAAGTCTAACACGACGCAGCTTTTTAGTCTGGATACAAATATAACTCGTCAGTATGAAAGGGTGAAGAAGACTGAAAAGTATGCCTTCGTGTTTGCAGATGGCCTCAGAAGTATCGATAATAAAGATGACTGTTTTTCCACCATGAGGATTGGTTTATCTGTTCAAGTCAGCTTTTATGTTCCCCTTCAGTCGCCACTCATACGGGACATGGAGCAGACTGTATCCCGTTTTTCCGACAACGGCTTGCTTAATATGTTGTTCAAAGCAGATCTCAGAAAACATAGTTGTGAATGGAACAATCAGTTAATAAGTAAACAGAAAGACCAGACTATTGGTATTGGTAATCTGTTGGGGGTGTTTTATATTGTACCTATTGGTGTGGTATTCGCTATATTAGGACTATTTGCTGAATATCTATATGTTAAAATATATGAATTAAGGACCAATACTTTCAACAAATAAATTCTTCTTGCTCTTGAGAGCAAGGTATGTAACTTTTATAGATGATTCCACCCAAGGCTCGTGCTTATCGAAGCTTTTATTTTGTACATTGAACATTGTGAATAGTATATCAAAATTTATTTTATTAAAGTATTAGTATTCCTAGTCTAAGACTAAAAACGAATGATGTCAAAGCTGTGCCTTTTCATTCTGTGTTAGATGAATTGCACTAGAGCTCGACATGCCAAGCGATAATGCTCTCAGTGTGGTCGCCAGAAAATCTCCTCTGGTACAGTGGCGGCTCTAGTGGGGGTACAAGGACGGGACCCTAAATTAGTGTCAGAATGCGACAAATGAAGTCTGTTTTTTTATTTCTTGGGGGTTAGGCCTAACGCTCTTAGATACTCGATGATGACGTCACTAATTGCAAAATAAGCTTTACCACGTTAGGCCCTTCGCGATAAGTGACGCCATCAAATACTTAGTTTTAGTGGAATTGAAGGAACCCAAGAATGGTACAAATTGATACTATCAGTGTCTCAATACACATACAAAATTTAGAAAGCGTCTTAAATTCAGGGTTATCTATCGGCTACCTGCCAATTAAACTCATTAGATTAAACACAAAATAAACACTGAATAATATACCTTGTTAAATAATAACTATTAAAATAGCGTTAAATATATTGATTCATATTATTCATATTTCTTTGGTAGTTTTTAAACCGTTTATCAAAACTTTTGAAAATAACGATTTAACCAACAGACAGATGATATATTTGCTTATCATATGATATTACTTAATAAGTTGTTAGGAACAGAAGACATCAGTTTAAAACTTCGTGATTATTCCTTTGATACAGTTGATATATTTTTTTTAAGGGGAAGTTTAATTTTTATTTTACAAGTGAAAATATTTCTAAACTATGGATTTTCTTGATCAATTTCAATTTTTTTTTAATTCAATCCAAAACGGAGTGTACAAAATTGTTAAGTAAGTATTTAAACTAGTTTTTGCTTTGGGGCCTTATAAAGAGAATATAATACTAGTTGAAGCTTCATGACTAAGTAGGACAACAATTTCTCTACAATTTGGCGTTTATTTTAAATCCCTACATAGTTTTTCATCACCAACCAAAAAAAAAAAAAATTTCGTGACTTCCAGATAAAGTAAGGGATACATTTCTAGGTTATGGTCTATAACAGTTCTCGATGACTTGAGCCTCTAAATTTTCCAACCTACTATTAAAACATCAGACTGTCTCTTTAACTTTAATAATTACAACTCTGTCTTATTGTTTTAACAAGTGATTGCCAAACAAGATACGCCCACTTTCCTCATACATTTTCAGTATATCAAGGGCAGTCACCTATCTGTGTCAAATCATACCAAAAATCTAATTTGTGCAAGATATTGTTGATTTAAACAAAGACACATTATTTGATAAAATTCTGACATAAATTGTCACCTCTATCGCCAACAAATTTTGATGATTTTTGGACAATAACTCAAATCCGATGATGAAAACTTGTCAAATTCAATCTGATCAAACCAAATTTTATTTAAATCGGATGAAAACTGTACTCTCTATTGTGTTCACAAACAAACTTTGACGCGTGTTTCATAAATCAAGGGCAATAACTCAAAAAGCATTCATCGAAAGATAGCCAAATTCGAACTTGTCCAAGATCTCTTCATTATAAATATTAACACCAAATTTCATTTAAATTGGATGAAAACTGTAGTCTCTATCGAGTTCACAAACAAATTTTGACGTGTTTTTCATAAATCAAGGGCAATAACTCAAAAACCATTCATCGAAAGATAGCCAAATTCAAACTTGTCCAAGATCTCTTCATTATAAATATTGACACCAAATTTCATTTAAATTGGATGAAAACTGTAGTCACTATAGTGTTCACAACCAAATTTTGACGCGTTTTTCATAAGTCTAGGGCAATAACTCAAAAACCGTTCATCGAAAGATAGCCAAATTCGAACTTGTCCAATATCTCATCATTATAAATATTCACACCAAATTTCATTTAAATTGGATGAAAACTGTAGTCTCTATAGTGTTCACAACCAAATTCTGACGCGTTTTTCATAAATCAAGGGCAATAACTCAAAAACCATTCATCGAAAGATAGCCAAATTCGAACTTGTCCATGATCTCTTCATTATAAATATTAAC